GGCGGAGTCCTCCTCGACGCATTTGCATCAGACCACTAGATTACTGAAATTTTTTATATCAAAGACTGAATTAGAGTCTTGAGTTTTGTAAAAGCCGTGCACCGGGATTAGGAGAAGGCGATTGTCACCGGAAAAACTTTTCGTCCGAAAACCCAGAGAAAACAAAACAAATACGTGTGTCAGGGACTGTCGAGATTGTTACGTCTCCCGTTGGCAGATTTGCTTCCCATGAATAACACATTCGGCAGACATCCGTTGTCGTTACTGTACAAATAGGAACACACCCGATCACAGTACCTTGGCGTCTTCGAGATAGTCACGAATGTGCACCAGTCCATCAGCATAAGATCATCGCTGCGTCGACAACCTGACCAAAATATTCGGGTGAAGGACAGTGGTTGATGTGAAACCAAATTTCTACAGTCGGAACCATACTCACCCTTGCAGTTTGATACCGACTATGAGACACCGACAGGTGTCCGACACTTCATACTCCTACGACTCACTTGCGGTACAAACTCAGCGAAGCCGGCAGAGTCACAAGCGCGCCGGTTGTAGGTCGAGAGGCTGGAGTTGTGGAAGATGGTCGTCGACCGTCGTCTGTGTCCGCGTGTCTGCCGAGCTCTGTGATGTGCGGGTAAGAAAAGGTAAAAGTCGCGTGTTATGGTAGAATTATGAGGGATGCACCCATGTAATCCCCCCCCTCGCATCCCCCTTTACTACGGAGACATACTTGCTGACATAGTAGACAACCGGTTCTCGATGTACAAAAGGTCTCATCGATCGTCCTTCGGCGAGGGAGGCTGAGACTTTAGACTCAATGGGGGGTAGGAACTGTGAAAGGTCAGAGCCGCACGAAATTCAAAAGAAAACGGTGTCGGTACAAAGAACCAATCTACACGACTTGATGTCCAGAAATGCAATCCAAGTCCAATAATAACCATGGACATCCGACCTAAATCCGCAACGTCTATTTCTCGTGTCCACAGCGTAGGACTGGCCGGCCGTGTAAGCATTTTGGTTTCTGCGTAGGAGATTGTGGTCCATATGGTCATTGATTTGGGCATTCTCTCAATAAGCAAGTGGAATGGATTTGATAGTGAAGCACTGACACAGCGCTCTACAAAGTGCGGCGAGTGGATAGACCGATTCACGGACTTTCCACATGGTAAAAGTGGGGGGGGTCTAAACTAATCATTTCAAAAAGTGGGGAGACTTGTCCCAACCTCATATAATGGCTGTGACGCCCATGGTATAAGTACAGTGTGGTACCTGCTCATCAGTGGTATGCTGGAAGTGTTCGACCAGCTCCATGGCCGTGCTCAGGTTGTTTCTGATGGAGTCCATGGATTCTTTCTGAGCCGCTGCGATCTCCTTCACCTGCGAGCTCAGCGCTGTGTGTTTGGCCTTGATGGCCCTCAGGTTCTCCAGCATCACCGCCGGGTTCTCCTGCAGGAACACAGTGCAGATACACACATCTTGTGTATGGTTTCTCATGTATAATGTCAGAAAGAGTCTGAAGGTCTGACTCTGAACTGAATTTGAAGTAAAAATACACTGATGCTATGTAAGGTACACAATTATACACAGGTATGATTAAACAACAGTTAAAAAGTTGTTATTCATCTTTGGAAGAGTCAGACAGAGCTCGACTTACAGAACTGTTAAAAAACAGAATGCCATTCCTCAAAGAACTGTGTTTATATTGGAGGTTGTACAATGACATTGCGTAAACAGTGTAGTTACATGTTGTAATTTGAACTTCAGTAGTTGACAGTTTGATGTCCTGCAGACTTCGTCCTATCTCGAGTTGTGTAAAAAATAAATGGCTGCTGTTATTCCATTACCTTAGCAGGACATCCATTCTCTGAAGCGTTGTTGATGAAGTCCAGCTTCAGACGCTTCTCAATGTACTCCAGGTCTGCCTCTGACTTCAGGAACTGCAAAGACACTCAGCTTTATGTTTTGGTACTACATGCACACAAGTTCACCCTGCCTTTCTGATCAGAAGTAGGCCTGGGTTTTTCTAGATATATTAAAAAGAGCCACAGAGAATTTAAAATCTTATCTGATAAGGATGGTGCATTCAGGGTCAGTGGAGCTTTAAAGTAAAGGTGATAGGACCAACAAAAGCCATAGTTGTGTAGTGATGACTATAATGTAGGCCAACCCGGTCAAGTTAGCATCACAAAGGCTCTCTCCACTAAAAGCAATATGTTTTAACAATGGATTTTGGAATATTGCAAAAAACAAGATTTTTGGCAAAAATACATTTATGATACTAACCACGTTATTCTGTTTGAAACCTTAATGCAATTGCCTGAAGTAGAAATGTAAATGTTATGGTGCAGCTGCTCTCTGCAGTTTTCAGATGCTTTGACAATACTATTGCACTGCTAGCTGTCTGATACAGTAGTGCAATGAAGTCAGAGCACCTGCCAACAGCTCAAGTGTGTAGAACGCTCCCTCGCTTGTAACCATTTCTGGCCGGATCCCTTCTAATGTTGCACTGCTTTTCTAGCAGGGCCAGCAGCCCTACAGTAAAAGAGGCACTGGACAGACAGAAGATTAACCTCAGTGAGTTGTGAGTGTGTCATACATGTGAGAACCCCAAACAGATCCCTACAACCTCAACCAAACACCAAAACACATAAGTCCTTTAAAGTCATTAAAAATGAGTAATTTACAAGCAGAGGTGGACGGAGTACTCAGATTATTTACTAGTAAGTAAAAGTAGAAATAAAGTGAAAAAACACTCCTACATCTAAAATGTACTTAAGTAAAAGTAAAAACAGTATTAGTACAAAAGTAAGAATACTTGTCATATTTGTAATTTCTTAATTAAAGAAGGGTTTATTTGAATTACTTGATATACTATTGTGTAGCTTAACAACTTAAATAATGATAATAAATGATCATGTATAAGCTGATTTAATAATTCAAATCTGTAAAATAAACGTAATCGAGTAGAAAGTACAGTATTTTCCTACCTAGTGTAGTAAAATAATGAAGTAGCATAGTGTGAAAATATTGAAGTAAAGTACCTACATTTTTTATTGAAGTACAGCATGAGTAGATGTACTTAGTAACATTTCACCCCTGCTTACAAGTATTATCGTAGAAACATGAAATACATATTATATGTATAAACTGTAGTGAAATGAGTGTTCCTGAACGCGCCCTGTTTCAATCTGTGCGGCCAGTTGTGTTCACTGACCGCTGCTTTAATGGTGGCCATGTTATTACATGTTGAAAACAGCAGAGCTGGGAAACGATTTCACAAAGCATCTTTTTTGGCTTACGCCCGACGCAATAACGGCAACAGTTAGCTAGTGAAATGGAGGTTTTAATAAACAAGGTTGTGAAATGAACTGCAGTTAGACAGGCAGCTGAATGTCGCAAATGTGTTTGAATTGTTTTTTAATACAAAGAGAAAATCATGAACCGCCTGCTCGTACTGTGGGAGGAGTAATAACTCCTCGGATATAACGAGCTGCTAAACGTCTCTGAGATCGTTAACAAGGATTAAAAGCAATTTCACAAGATGAATACAAGGGAAAATATAATAGTTTGACACTGAGCTTACCATCGCCTCTAGTTTATCAACTGTGGTCTCCATGTTGAATAGTTTCCAGCCTGAGGTGGGCTCTGTCATTGGCCAGCTGTCATAAATGGAGGAAGCTGATTGGACGGCTCTGCTGCCCGTCTCTTTTTGTGGAATGGTTACATTTTTTTCAAAACAACTTTATTAACAAAGTGTATTTCATCAATTTAACACTTTAAAACGCGGTGTGCGTATTGTTTTAATTCAACTAAACAGCATAAAAAACAATTTGTTTAGGATTACTGTATATAACAGCCCATTCAATTTTTATGTTTTGAATGACCATTTTTAGCTTTTACACCAGTGTGGGTATTTGTTTCTGTCGGGAATTGAATGCTGCTCTTCTAGACTTGAACAATTTTGAACAACAACTGCTACTCAAGCTACAACACCACAACAATTTACAATTCTTTTTTGAGTTTTTTTAAATACTATCTTCCAGTTCATCTTTTGTGGGTTCTGTGTTTGAGTATTGCTGCACTCTAATGTTTTATGCAGAATGTGAAGACTAGAAAAACCTTGCTTTAGTCTGACTTGGTTTGAGGTTCATTTGTGCCTTGGTACAACACAGGGTCACGCCAACATATAGTTGTATGCCTTTAAGCTACAAAAGACATCAAAAAACATAACTTTTTTATAGTGAACATGGAGGATGAGTTGCTGAGTAAAGAATCTACTCTGTTGTCTGGTGGTAGGACAGCGGATAGCCTACTTCTGTATCTCTTAGGCAGCAGAGGCTGTGGTTGGGGAGTTTCCTTCAGGATGCAGACATGTGATGACCATGTATTGTGGTTTTGTTCGTTGTTTTAGATGCTGATTTTTCTAGGTACTTAAATCTGTTCATTTGCTCTTTTTCAGCTCCACTGATGTATACGACAGGAGTGTGTGTCTTTTCCTATTTTCCTAAATCAATGATCAGTGGATTGGTTTTGCTTGAATTGAGCAAAATTGTTGATTTCCTAAAGTCTCTTGTTTGTTAGAAATCCGGCCAATCATGGTTAGGGTTAGGCCTCTGGTGTTAAGCAGGGTCAGTTTGTGGGAAAGTCAAAAATGCAAGTGCATAGTGGGGTAGTCATTCCCAGTTTTGCTATTTCTGACCCATGACACCCAAGAAGTCAAAAAAGGACCAACAAAACCATGAATCTTTCAGTCTCAGATTGTGTTCCCTTGAAGCTCCTTTCTGTCCCAACTCAAATATAATATCTAGTGGTTGGAGTCAGAATGGTTGAGACCTGTAATTCAATCATGGTTCACTGTGACACAAGAGGGCGGCCTACTTCCTCTGTCCACACTGACACCATCATGTTTAACCTTTAAAGAAAACACTGTAGACATCATGTTGCCCCTCAGATAAAAAGGAGCCTATAGTTAAACAACAGCAATCAAAAACAGCATCAAGCCTTAATGCAGAACTTTATGAGAACTTCATTCACAGAAACATGGACATACAACACAAACATGTTTTTTCTACACACAAAACATGGAATTTATTGAGTTATGCACCATGGTTGACATTGTTCTGAAGTTGTTTTATTGTCCCGACCCATAGAAAAGACCCAAAACCGCAATGTGTTAGTTCATCTCTCCCTCGAGTTCTTTCTTTCTTGTGTTTAAAAAAAACCCGTCCTATTCTGTCTTTTTGTCACTCAAATGAATTATCCTGTTGGATGATTAACCCTATATTCATATATAGTATTTATTAGCAATTCCTCATTAAATTAAAAACATTTTATACCACTACATTTGCTCATTTTGCTTCACGGTCCATTCTGATTCTAAAGTGAAACTAAACGCAGGTCAAATGCAAAAGCAAAATAACAATGAAATCTATTTGCATTGAATGTGGAGATTCATTAAAATAATGATTACTGGTAGAAATGCATTTTGACAGGTCAAACATCACAAACATTGTAAAAAGAAAACAAAAATCCAGCATCAGCAAAGCAAGCCAGATATTTGTACACAGACGAATGTATATTTGGCCATATGGGAGACGTATTCACAGAGATCCTGAAGGTGTTGGACTGCGAATGGAGAACACACTTGTTTAAGTTCTATAAGTCACCGTAGAAAATACAGTAGACATATTTACAGAAATTCTTCATGACTGACTTCAGAAAATACAGTGCTGTTTGTGTCGCTTTTTTTACAAACACATTTTTGATATACTGATATTACAAGCATGAGACAGCTACACTAGCAAGCCTTTTCATGTCAAAGGCAGTGAAAAAATGTATCATAAAACAAAACCAGTTCAAATATGAACAGTCAGAAGCTGGACCAAAGTATTTAACTAGGTTTAAAGGTTCCTTGATATTATAGTGCATCACGCTGCACTGTGAACACTGAAACAAGTGGCAGGAGTTTAAGGACCATCATAGTGGCACATATAAAAACTATTCCTGTACAGATATTTGAAGGGGATGTTTGTTATGTAACCAGGAAGAATGTGGGTTAAGACTACTATTTCAATTTGTTATCATGCAACACATCAATGTGACATATTAGTATGGCGGTCACTGGACGTCATTTACAGCTCTCTGAGGCGACATCGCAGGCAGCTCCAGCTTCTCACAATCCGTCAGCTTCAGTGTTAGGTGCTGGGCGATCTCATTAGGATCCGTGTACAGTGCAGCGGGAACATTCTGGTGAGGGAGGGACACTTTCAAAACAAGAAATGCAGCACATCATACAGTAGGAAGCTTCAATAGATTAACAGTTTAAATAAAGTGATGGCGAGGACTACCTTGACATAAAGCAATGGATTTTTTTCATTGGATTTCGGAATAATGCTGAAAATAAACTCTCTGGCCAACAAATGTTAATGATACTTACACCTTTTGTTCAGCAGGACATTCTCCACAGAAGTCAAAAGAAAAACTTAAGCTTTAAACAAAGCGCAAAATGCTAACTCATTTCTAGGTTTTAGGACTCATTCCTTCATGACTCTATACACAGTCTGTAAGACTTTGCATCCAATCGGCTGATAACCAAAGGTGACATTTAAATTGAACAATTATTTTCATTACCAAAATGATGTTTTTATATAAATGGTGATGTAGAACGTTTTTATGCAAATAGTGTAGCAAAGGCAGGATTTAGATGAATGTATGGTAGAGAGTTTTCTTTTGTATGTACATTCCAATGGCAACGTAAAATATAAACTAATTATAATTTTACAAAGATAATAATTCTTCAACCCTCGTGATTGTAAATGGGGAATTGCAAAACATTAGGATGCCTCTGAATATAATGCCTTTGTGTTCAACACCCTATAATATATTTAAACATTAAACTGTGTGGCAGAGTCATTCAGAACTGCAGAGTATTATTTATGTAAAGGTTTGATGTATTGTTGTTGTATAGGATTGCATCAGATTGTACAGGTGTATTAAATGGTTAACCACTATGTCAAGATTAATGATGGAAAAAGGGTCAACATAAATGGAATTTTAAAATAAAGATGAAACTAATTCAATCTTTATTTTCCTTGAAAAACTATTTAGAAAATGATGAATAGGATATTTTCCCCCACATCCTATGTAAAAAAATGTGATGGCAACAGAAAGGCTTGGTAAGAAAACATATAACGTTGACTTATTGAATAAAAAAAACAATGCTACTCGATTCTGATTGGTCAATTTAGACATTTCAGAGGTTGTTAACACTCGATAACACACCGCTGCCAAGCAAAGTTATAACCGTTGCTAAGGTCGATTGTTTTGTGATTTACATTCATTAATGACCACCTCTTCATACATTATCCCTTAGTTAAAGCTCTTTCTTTGCTTCTTGTGGCAGAACTATCCATAATTCAATGTGAAGGTGAAAAGATGTGGTCCTCAGTGTCGTGTGACTCGCTGTGATTATAGTGTTAGCTTTACAATGATAAACAGAAGGACTTTATGATATTCTATGCAGGTTCCTCTGTTCGATACTGACTACGTGTAAGACAAGCAGAGTAAGAGACACTGTAATGATAGCAGGATTAAAAAAAGGAGTGATGGCATATAGAAAGCTAGGGGCATAGACCCTTTAATAAATGATCACCATGAGACATGGCCAGCTTTTTTACCAGTGTCGTGTCACAACTCACCTTCAAGTCTGCTATTTTACTTTCTCTCGTGCTGAACTCTCGTAGCATGTAACTCGCTCCGGCCTGGAATCAGAAACACAATCCCCATTTATTCACTTGTGAGTATGGATAATCAGACACAGTAAACAGGGTTTTATGACAGTTGCTCCATTTTTGAAAATTAAAGAAATAAAATAGAAATATAAACATAAAAGTAAGATATCTAATAAAAGATTAAAAAAAAAAAAACTGAATAAAAAAAATATATATACAGTGCATCCGGAAAGTATTCATACCCCTTAACTTGTTTCACATTTAGTTATGTTACAGCCTTATTTCAAAATGGATTAAATTATTTATTTTTCTCAACATTCCACACACACAATACCCCATAATGACAAATAGAAAATGCTTTTAAAGAATGTTTCGCAAATGTGTTAAAAATTCTTAAATGAAATATCACATGTAAATAAGTATTCACGCCTTTTGCTATGATATTGAAAATTGAGCTCAGGCGCTTCCCGTTTCCACTGATCATCCTTGAGATGTTTCTATAACTTGACTGGAGTCCACCTGTAGTAAATTAAATAGATTGGACATGACTTGGAAAGGAACACACCTGTCTATATGAGGTCCCACAGTTGACAGTGCATATCAGAGCACAAACCAAGTCATGAGGTCCAAGGAATTGCTGGAGACCTCAGAGACAGGATTGCATCAAGGCACAGATCTGGGGAAGGGTACAGAAAAATGTCTGCAGCATTGAAGGTCCCAACGAGCACAGTGGTTTCCATCATTTGCAAATGGAAGATGTTTGAAACCACCAGGGCTCTTCCTAGAGCTTGCTGCCCAAACCAAACAATGGGGGAGAAGGACCTTAGTCAGAGAGGTGACCAAGAACCTGATGGTCAGTCTGATGGATCTCTTTGGCCTGAATGTCAAGCATCATGTCTGGAGGAACTCAGGCATCGCTCATCACCTGGCCAACACCATCCCTACAGTGAAGCCTGGTGGTGGCAGCATCATGCTGTGGGGATGTTTTTCAGCAGCAGGAACTGGGAGACTAGTCAGGATCAAGGGAAAGATGAATGCAGCAATGTACAGGGAGATCCTTGATGAAAACCTGCTCCAGAGCGCTCTGGACCTCAGACTGGGGCGAAGGTTCACCCTTCAACAGGACAACGACCCTAAGCACACGCCACAATAACAAAGGAGTGGCTTCGGGACAAGTCTGTGAATGTCCATGAGTGGCCCAGCCTGAGCCCAGACTTGAACCGGATTGAATATCTCTGGAGAGGTCTGAAAATGGCTGTGCACCGACGCTCCCCATCCAAGCTGATGGAGCTTGAGACGATCTGCAAAGAAGAATGGGAGAAACTGCCCAAAGAGAGGTGTGCCAAGCGTGTAGCATCATACTCAAGAAGACTTGAGGCTGTAATTGCTGCCAAAGGTGCTGCAACAACGCATTGAGTAAAGGGTGTGAATACTTATGCACATGTGATATTTGAGTGCTTTATTTTTAATTAATTTGCACAAATTATTTTAAAGCTTTTTTCACTTTGTCATTATGGGGTATTTTGTGTAGAATGTTGAGAAATCAAATTAATTTAATCCAAATAAAAATAAGGCTGTAACATAACAAAATGTGGAAAAAGTGAAGGGGTATGAATACTTTCCAGATGCACTGTACATGTACAAAGTTTAAATACAAATGTGCAAATTGTACTATAATATATAACATGTGTATGGTGTAGATTAGAACTTTCTATATAAACACTTATATATAAAGTATATAACTTGAACCGCATTTAAATGATACGCCTTGCCCATTATAAAACCATGCACTGTACCCTGGCTTGAGGAAGTAGACGTACCTCATGATACAGTCGTGTGTCGTTTATTCTGATCAGCACTCCGTCCACTCGTAGGAAGAAACGCAGCAACAAGAAGAAACTGGTGGGCATCACCCTCTGTCAACAACACACAGCAACACGTTACAAAGGTCAAAAGGGTTCAAATCATCATATCATGATAGAGTATGTTAAAGAAACATAGAAACAAGAGTCAGTTATTAGGATCATCATTCCTTTTCTGATCATTTTCTCTCAGGAAGGTTAAAACCAGAGTGAAATGATCAGGAAAGTTAGTGGCAGCCATGCTAAGGGCCGATGCATTCTATAGATGATCGGAAAAGAAGCTTCAGTGCCTCCTTTTTATGTCCTTTAGCTTAGAATACACTGGACCTTTACTTCACAAAAGGAAAGGAGATAATGCTGTCCCACAATTCATTGCAGCTGGAACATAAAGTAACATATCATATGGCTGTTTACGTAAACAGCTGATCATTACCAACACACACAGTGGATAATGTGAGTTAGGATGCTTATTAATAATTTGCAATCTTATGCAGTAACCTGTGTGTGCGAACAATGAATGTTACACTAATTACTTGCAATTAAGGCCCCGGGCCCACGAGGACGCATACGGTCGTTTCCTTTACCGTTTTGTGTCATATATAGTAGACCATTCGGCCACACTAGGACGACAGAATATGGCACTAAGCGACTACGGTAACGATAACGGGTCCCAAGGTGGAGAGACCGGCATACGCAACGCTCTGGGGGGTCCAACGGCTCCGTGTGTAAGCCCTCTACGATTATTTTCTGATAACGATGAAATAGCCCCGCCTCCCTCTCCCCACGTCTCCTGCTGCTGCTGGGCTGTCAGAAGAGGGGGAGGAAAAGAGAGGCAGGCACCGTTTATTAAATATTATTATATTATTATGCAGAGAATAGAGTCGTTATCAATTTGTTTTGAAGCTCAATAAATAACAAAGAAGACCTCTGACCGGCACTTTTCTAATTTTGTACGGAAGATTTAAACTTTAACAGACATGTTGACCGGCTCAAAAAATGTTTAACGGAAACTCTGCTGCACGGTTCCCTCATCCCTTGGAAGAGGCGGAGAAGTGGGTGTTTTTCATCTGCTGGTGGAATACCGGACCGGAGATATATACAGCAGGAGAACACGCCGTCCACCGCGGAGAATAAACAGGAGGGAAACCATGATCTGGTGTCTTCTTCGCTGCTTTTGGTGTATTTTGTGGCGGCAGCAGCGCCACTTACAGGCCTGGCATATGTACTAGAGCGTTTCCAGCATTTCTCGTGTGAACGGACACGTTAATGAATCGAATGCGTGTGAACGGAAGACTTTTTTGCGATTGCGTATGCGTTTTACCGTATGCGTCTTCGAGGGGCCGGGGTCTAAAGCCCCGGGCGGTTCGGCCACACGAGGCCGACATGGAAACGCAGAAAACGATAACGGGTCCCTAGGTGGGTAGATCTGTAAACGAAACGCTCTGGGGGGCCAAACGGCTCCGTGATTACGCCTATACGATCATTTCCTGATAACGTTGAAGCAGACCCGGCGCCAGAACAAATCTAAAGGGAGGGCATATTATTTTCATGGGAGGGCCCACAAAACGGCACAATATATATCAAACAGCAAGGCCAACAGCATTGCGTAAAGACGCACACTTATCGCAAGTACATACACAAATAAAGGGCAACATAGAAACCACTTTTGAAACATTGTGTGCGTGGCAGCACAAACACTGGTAAATCACGAGCAAGGCACACTGGTTAAGGATGGCAGCTTCCTCATCGTTGCACTCGGAGAGAAATAGTAGAGACGGAGACGATGAACTGTTTAGCCCGCCTTGGGCATGGTTTATTTTCCTATGCACTGCAGGTGCATCCTTTCGCTCAGCCGAGCTAACTTACAACAACAACACACATAGATCTGGACTGAATGTGCATCAGGTAAACACACCCTCATTTACATATGACGAAAGCCTGCGTCCTTAAGTAGCACATAACATTTCAGTGCCTCACAGTGGTACAATAATAACATGACATCCCTTTGTGAGCTTGAGTACAGAATAGACATAATCTACCATATATATATAGTACAAAAAGGGCGAAAAAGTAATTAGTCAGCCACCAAGTTGGGCATAGTTCTCCCACTTAAAAAGAGGAGAGAGCCCTGTCTCATTTTCCATCCTAGCTATACCCTCAACTATGAGAGAGAAAATGAGAAAGAAAATCCAGAAAATCACTGTTCTGATTTTAAAGAATTTAAATTTTGCAAATTGTGGTGGCAAAATAAGTATTTGGTTCATATACAAAGAAGTTAATCTCAATACTTGTATATAAGACCTTTGCCTAGAGATGGGAGCAGAGTCCTGTATTCATCCGGATCATTAACCCGATCCTAGAAATGCAAGCTGGTCGTGGACAGAACCGCAGTGACGCGTCATAAACCCGGAAGTAAGTTAGCATTTTAGCACTGTCCCGGTTCCTTCTCAAAAGCATGCATTTTTTCCATAGGGTTTTGGAAAAGTAGCTCGAAATAAGGTCTGTGGATGTGACACAAAATTTAAGAGATAAATCACGTTTTGTTCTACGACATTAAATACATCAGCAGTGACCCCACTGGGGATTTTTGCAAGAGTTTACGTGTCCTGAAAAACGATGGTTGTTCACCGGAATGGCTGAAATAGGATGCTACAGAAATGCGACGGCCGTTGTACG